TTTTGCATATCTGACAGTGTAACATTAAGCATTAGCATTTCGAATGAGTTAAACCTGTATCCTGTCTTCTGAGTAACATTGAGAATATCACTATATATTGTTGCAACACTGCCGTCACGATCAGTCTGACGGGGCTCATGCTTATAACAGTAGCTTGGTGGAGTAGACTCATTTAGACCAATATAATCATTAGGTTTTAGCCAGGTTTCAGTCAAGCAGAGTACATCAAAACGATTATCTGTGATCATTTAATTTACAATAACTGCTTTGGGTGAGAGTGATCTAATGTTTAGGAGCCCAAACTTTAAAAATTGTTTTTGTTCATTTATTTTAAGTTTTTCTGGTTTAATCACGATCAGATTTTTTTCTAGATCCTGCATTACATTTATATTTTGACCTCACTATTCAGGGAACAGACCGTCTTTATAGATTGTACAGCACAAATACTTCTATCATTTAAGCGGGTAGAACAAAAGCCATCGGCAGTTATTTGAGATTTGACTTACTAGTCATATGGAGCGCAGCGTCCTGGAGATGTTGTCCGACATGAGTTCCGCTCCGACTCTGCTGGGATGCAAGCCATCAGTGCGAAAAAGCCTAGGACGCTCCCAGAAAAGATTCCAATTATTAACAAAGAGCAGTTTCTGTTCTTTACACCATGACAATAACCATTCATTTAAAGCAAAAAGTCTACTGAACCTTTCGTGTCCTCGTCGATACGTGGAAAGCGGTCCTGACACGATGATCGTCGTCGCGGGCGATGTGCGGCGCACCGTCTCGATCAGGCTCCTGAAGTCCCTCTTCAGTGTCTCCGTCTGCCGCAGCTTGGTGTCGTTAGCCCCCGCGTGAAGCACGACCGCTCCGGTTGATTTTAAGATGAAGACGAAGAATTAACTTGACGGAGCTCAAACTCAAAACACACGGCAGGAACAAACAGGAAGTGATGCCGGAAGTGTAAATGTGTGGATAAGCACTGCCTCCGCAGATGATCAACACTTGCTTCTACCTCACTGCCTGTCTAGCCCCGCCCACCGATTCTACTGCACTGTCTGTTTAGACCTGCCCACTGATTCTACAGAACTCCGTTTAGACCTGCCCACTGATTCTACAGCACTCCCTGTTTAGCCCCGCCCACTGATTCTACAGCACTCCCTGTTTAGCCCCGCCCACTGATTCTACAGCGCTACCGGTTTAGCCCCGCCCACCGACACCCGCTCTTCACCACGATCGAGCTTGACTAAATGTAGCCACACTTTTGATCTTTTAAACATCTTTTAAATCTATGGGGGTTGGGACGCTACAGTACAGCCTCACGTGTGAGAGACACGTCTCTGAGCGAGTGGGCGTAAACTATTGATTTTCCCTGATGCCTCGCCCCAGCCAATCACCAGCATTTGATTTGTGCATGTCAAGCATGCTGCACGTTTACTGGCTCACTGGCGTTGACCAGATTAAACCCTTAGGTATCGAAATTTGGTACCGAACGAAAATGAATTTTTCGATACTCGATAGTATCGAGGCAATTCGGTCTGTGCCTAAAAAGTATCGAACTCGATACCCAGCCCTAATCATGGGTCTACAATCCTCCACAGCTATTCAGACAGAGCATTCTGATGAGGGGGGTTAACAACAGCACAGAAAATAGCTTATTACTTCTAAATGATGATGTTTTTGATGTAAAAATCTTGATAACATTATAAGTGGACCTCAGACAACAGTACAAAATAAAAAAACAGGCGCAGTTCATGACCCTTTTATTATGAATCGGTCGCAGCAATAATTTTTATGATAATGTATTATTTTAAATTTTTTTAAATGTCACGCACTGATTGGATGTCACGTTAACGCTGGCGTCGCTCACGGTCGTTGCTGTCTTTGTTGCGGTGCAGTTTTGACTGTGCGATGCAGGCTCTGAAGAACACAGCCACAAACACTGCGGATGAGCTGGCGGAGGTGTTCACTGAGATGAGGGCGCACCTGTACCTGTACTCCGGGACACTGCTGCTGAAGAGTGCACAGGATGGGGCGCTGCAGTGGAGGGCCGTGCTGGATCTGGCCGCTCTATGTTATCTCGTATCCTATCAGGTACACCGCTTCCTCTTCCTCACACGCTCGTGCCGTCTGATCCTCCACCTTACAGCATCTCATCTGCTTCTCTCGCAGGCTCTGAGACCCAAAGCCAGGAGCTTCAAGAGTGAGCAGGCGTCCCATGAGCCTCTGGAGCTGCTGGCCTGTGATCGTCAGAGTCAGGCGGGTCACATGCTGCTGAACCTGAGCCGGGACGTGGAGCAGCTGCTGAAGGACGTGGTGGAGGCCTTCGGGAACCGGAGCGGCACGGGCCGTCTGTTTGACCAGCTATTCAGCGCACAGACGCAGGAGCAGCTCTCCTTCATCTGCAACGATGACATCCACGTCCTCAGCATACATGTGCCCAAAGCCGTGGATCTGGCCAAGTGTGATGGTGGTGAGTCTCAGACAGGAGCGCCAGTGAGTGTGTGCTGGGTCTGCTCTAGATGTTGATGCAGTGTATGTGTCTCTGTGTCTCTGTGTGCGCCTGTGTGTGTGTGCGCCTGTGTGTGTGTGCGCCTGTGTGTGTGTGCGCCTGTGTGTGTGTGCGCCTGTGTGTGTGTGCGCCTGTGTGTGTGTGCGCCTGTGTGTGTGTGCGCCTGTGTGTGTGTGCGCCTGTGTGTGTGTGCGCCTGTGTGTGTGTGCGCCTGTGTGTGTGTGCGCCTGTGTGTGTGTGCGCCTGTGTGTGTGTGCGCCTGTGTGTGTGTGCGCCTGTGTGTGTGTGCGCCTGTGTGTGTGTGCGCCTGTGTGTGTGTGCGCCTGTGTGTGTGTGCGCCTGTGTGTGTGTGCGCCTGTGTGTGTGTGCGCCTGTGTGTGTGTGCGCCTGTGTGTGTGTGCGCCTGTGTGTGTGTGCGCCTGTGTGTGTGTGCGCCTGTGTGTGTGTGCGCCTGTGTGTGTGTGCGCCTGTGTGTGTGTGCGCCTGTGTGTGTGTGCGCCTGTGTGTGTGTGCGCCTGTGTGTGTGTGCGCCTGTGTGTGTGTGCGCCTGTGTGTGTGTGCGCCTGTGTGTGTGTGCGCCTGTGTGTGTGTGCGCCTGTGTGTGTGTGCGCCTGTGTGTGTGTGCGCCTGTGTGTGTGTGCGCCTGTGTGTGTGTGCGCCTGTGTGTGTGTGCGCCTGTGTGTGTGTGCGCCTGTGTGTGTGTGCGCCTGTGTGTGTGTGCGCCTGTGTGTGTGTGCGCCTGTGTGTGTGTGCGCCTGTGTGTGTGTGCGCCTGTGTGTGTGTGCGCCTGTGTGTGTGTGCGCCTGTGTGTGTGTGCGCCTGTGTGTGTGTGCGCCTGTGTGTGTGTGCGCCTGTGTGTGTGTGCGCCTGTGTGTGTGTGCGCCTGTGTGTGTGTGCGCCTGTGTGTGTGTGCGCCTGTGTGTGTGTGTGTGTGTGCGCCTCTGTGTGTGTGTGTGCCTCTGTGTGTGTGTGCCTCTGTGTGTGTGTGTGCCTCTGTGTGTGTGCCTCTGTGTGTGTGCGTGTGCGTGTGTGTGTCTCTGTGTCTCTGTGTGCGCCTGTGTGTGTGTGCGCCTGTGTGTGTGTGTGTGTGTGCGCCTCTGTGTGTGTGTGTGTGCGCCTCTGTGTGTGTGTGTGTGCGCCTCTGTGTGTGTGTGTGCGCCTCTGTGTGTGCGCGTCTCCGCGTGTGTGTGCGCGCGCGTGCGTGTCTCTGTGTTGGGTCTGCTGTAGAGGCTGATGCGGGGTGTGTGTGTCACAGGAGCGGTGCTGCTGCACGCGGGTGATCTGCAGCAGCTGGCGTGGCTCGGTCTGCAGTGGGCGCTCATGGGTCAAAGCGTGAGTCTGCAGGACTGGCTGAAGCAGCTCTTCCCTCGCCTCACGCTCGAGACCTCCAAACTGGACACCAACGCGCCGGAATCCATCTGCCTGCTGGACCTCGAGGTGTGTTCACTGCTTTAGTTTCTTCCACAGAGGAAGATATTGGTCTGTGTGAAACAGGAACAGGGTTTGATGCCAGTAGCTATGTTTCCATCCACCTATTTTTATGCGCATTTTGGATTATCACATAAAACACCGCTGGATGGAAATGCCAAGATGTGCATAAATTCTAAAAATGCACATAAAAAACTTGTGCACAACTGAGTAGTATAAACAGAAACTTTTTATCCGATAAGAAAGCATAAACTACGATGGAAACACATTTACCGAATAAATTCCACCATGCGCATTGAAAAAGTCACGTGACTTTGCGCTATGAGACGGGATAACTTGACTAGCAGTGGACCGATCTCGTTCACAGCATCTATATGTTTTGGTCGTTCTGAAATGCCTGAGGAAAGTCTGTCATCAAAGTACTTCTGTATAATTACTGTCTCACACGACTGTGTTCCCAAACAGCAGCATCCAGCTCTGAAAGCAATGACCACATTTATTGTGTTACGTCTGCTCGCTCTGTAGCGCAAGTCATTTATTACAAATGAAAATGATTATATTCAGTGGCTTCTCCTAGTTTTCTTAGAGATATTTAGTGCCAGTTAATCAGTGCCCAGCACTACTACAGGAGTTACAGTACTGGTCAAAAGTTTGGAAACATTACTATTTTAATGTTTTAAACATTGCATATCTTTTGCTCATCAAGCCTTATGTTCTTATACAGAACAAAACGATAATATTGCGTAGTATTACTGGTATTGCAATTTAAAATGATGGTTTTGGGGTTTTTATTTACTTTCAAATATAATGTTTTTCTGTGATGCAAAGCTGAATTTGAACATTACTCCAGTCTTCAGTGTCACGTGATTCTTCAGAAAGCATTCTAATAAGCTGATTTATAATACATTTTGGAAACAGGTGTGCGGTTAAAATTTTTTTTTTATTACCTGTGATTCTTTTTTCAGGATTCTTTAACGAATAAACAGTTAAAAAAAAGAACAGCGTTTATTTAAAATAGAAATCTTTTTTTAACAATACACTACCATTCAAAAGTTTGGGGTCAGTATCCTTTCTCTTTTTTTTAAATAAATTACTTTAATTCATAACTTTTATTAAACAAGGATGTGTTAAATTAATAAAGTAATAGTAAAGACTTATATTGTTAGAAAATATTTCTATTTTGAATAAACACTGTTCACAAGTTTTCATTCATCAATAAATCCTAAAAAAAGCATCACCGATTTCCCCCAAAAATCCCAAAATGTAATTTTAAAAATTTGTGTTAGTTTGCATGCATGTGAGCCTACAAAATGTTTATATTTATGTTTTTATATGATAGTTTTATCAATTTCCCCAAATTTTCAATGAATTCCTATACATTCCTGGTAAGTTTCAAACTTGGAATATTTCCAAAATTCCCCAGACGAAGTTCCCATGGAAAGTTTCCGGAAATATACCCATCCAAGATGCAGGCGACTGTTTTTCTTCAGTAGAGCCGTAAAGAAGTTTTTAGCTGAAACTGTGCTCCTTGGTGATTCATTAAAAATGCAGTGGCTGCCCGACTTTGAGATTTAAAAAAGCACATCAGGCAGCCGTTTGCATGCATGTGAGCCTACAAAATGTTTATATTTATGTTTTTATATGATAGTTTTATCAATTTCCCCAAATTTTCAATGAATTCCTATACATTCCTGGTAAGTTTCAAACTTGGAATATTTACCAAATTCCCCAGACGAAGTTCCCATGGAAAGTTTCCGGAAATATACTGGAAAGTTTCCGCCCCTTTTCAACCCTATCCAAGATGCAGGCGACTGTTTTTCTTCAGTAGAACCGTAAAGAAGTTTTTAGCTGAAACTGTGCTCCTTGGTGATTCATTAAAAATGCAGTGGCTGCCCGACTTTGAGATTTAAAAAAGCACATCAGGCAGCACAATCAATATATCATGACTCCTGATGGTATATTAAGGGTCTTATGAAGCGAAACGATCGGTCTGTAGCCTCAGGCAGATGGGGAAATAGTTATTTTTTCACACAGGTTCTATCTAGGGTTGGGTAACCTTAACATTTGAACCGGTACGGTACCGGTATCGGTTCCTGAATTTCGGTACTTGACTCTGTGTAATTACAAAAACATTTGAGTGAAAAAAATAAGTCCAAAAGTCTCAATTTCAACATTTTGAACAAAAAAAACTTTTTTTCCCCCAGAAATGCTTGTTTTAATTTTTCTGAAAATCAAATTAAGGCATTAAACATTTATTTTAAATCAAATGAAAATTAAACCCTTTTATTTTTTGGCAAACAAACTGAGGTTTACTGTTGAAATTAATACATGGAAGAAAAATTGTGTGAATATTCCTTTAAAACATTTTATAATAGGCTAATTGTATTATTTTTTTCTACAATTAAGTGATTGATCTGATTGTAATATTTATTTTTATCATTTAATTGTTTTATTTAAATTTGAAATTTTTTCCCCCAGAAATTCGTGTTTTAATTTTCCTGAAAATCTAATTAAGGCATTAAACATTTATTTTACATCAAATGAAAATTTAAACCCTTTTATTTTTTGGCAAACAAACAGGTTTACTGTTGAAATTAATACATGGAAGAATAATTGTGTGAATATTCCTTTTAAAACATTTTATAATAGGCTCATTGTATTATTTTTTTCTACAATTAAGTGATTGATCTGATTGTAATATTTATTTTTATAATTTAATTGTTTTATTTAAATTTGATAGAAAATTGAATATTTAAAGATGTACATTATGCTGTACAAGAGTAAAATATTTCTGTTACATGTTAAACCGTACTGTTATTTTGACAGGTTGCCATGAAGTTTCTGTGTGTATACAGTATGATGATGCTAGTTTTCTGAAATGAAACGGTAAAAATTACTCACAGCAGCTCTGGAGATTAAGTGTTTGTGTTCATGCCGTCCTATAGTGAGACGCAGAGGCCGAAAATCACCACGAGCGTCACGCGTGCTTCAGCATTTGCATAGTAAACAAAACCGCGTTTCCACCATACATACATACAGAGGCAAGCGGGACATGCAGGATTCATATTTAAACCATCTTTTTGCATTTTAATATTCACAGACACAAGTTCATATCGCAATTCGAATTAAGTGGCAGTGGCTACTTTTGATTTATTCGTCCAAATTGAGGAATTCCGTGGCGTTTCCGCGCTATAGAGTATGTATTTATGAATGGACTCCGCGATCCCGTCCACGTTTTCTCAGAAACCATATGGCTCTAGGAGTGTAACCACACTTCAGAACATTTCGTCTTGCCCTGTGTGTTGTTTGAACGAGTTGCAGGGTCTCTCTTTCTCTGTAGCGTATGCGCCCAGATGCGTTCTCAGGTACCGAAATTTGGCACCGATTGATTAAACGTGAATAGGTACTCGGTAGTACCAACGCAATTCGTCGGTGCCCTTAAAAGTACCGAGTTCGGTACTCAACACTAGTTCTATCAGGCAGTTTAATTCAATGAACTGTTCAAATAACCTTAGTCACGTCGCCGCCGATAGCCTCGTGGTTAGTGCCCGTTCTCAGGTACCGAAATTTGGCACTGATTGATTTCACGTGAATAGGTACTCGGTAGTACCAATGCAATTCGGTCGGTGCCCTTAAAAGTACCGAGTTCGGTACTCAACACTAGTTCTATCAGGCAGTTTAATTCAATGAACTGGTTCAAATAACCTTAGTCACGTCGCCGCCGATAGCCTCGTGGTTAGTGCGCCGATATACAGTGCACCTGTGCTCCCAGCGACGAAGTTTGGTTCCAGTCTCTGCCCAATATTTTCCTGTCTGCTCTCTACTGTCCTGTCCATTAAAGGCAGAAAAAAGCCCATAAATATAACTTTAAAAAAATAATTGGGTTACACTTTACTTGAAGGGGTGTGCATAAGACTGACATGACACCTACATAATTATGACACGACACACGTCATGAATATGAAGGTTTTGTATGCATGTTTATGACAACTGTCATTAAGTGTAATTTGCTCAGTTATGTAATTTTTAATGCAAAGATGACATTGTTTGAGATGTCTTTGTTATGGGCTATGGTTAGGGGTAAGGGTAGGGGTAGGGTTAGGTTAGGGTTAGGTCAAATAATGTCATATTTGCATTAAAAATGACATAACTGAGCGAATGACACTTAATGACAGTTGTCATAAACATGCATAAAACCTCCTCAAGTAAAGTGTTACCAATAATTGTCGTGCAGTGACATCATGTGTATGCAATTATATTATGAAAGTGTTAAAAAATACTTCTAAAGCATATTAAGTGAATAAACTAATCTTAATCATCTCACCTTTTTACATAGGCCATTAGAAACTATAAAATTAGTTTTGTTTCATAGGATTTCAATATATTATCAAGAGCCACGGTTATTAATTTTGAGTTGCCTATAAATGCGTGTTTTGACTCTCAAAGTGCCATTGACTTGCATTTAATAAATCACCAAGGAGCACAGTTTCAGCTAAACATCTTCTTTACTGTTCTACTGAAGAAAAACAGTCGCCTGCATCTTGGATGGCCTGAGGATGAGTGAATTAACAGCAAGCTTTCATTTCTGGCTGAACTGTCTCTTTAATATCTACAGGTGTGTATTCCAGTAAGGCTCCAACTAACATGCAGGATTGTCAGGGAACTTCAACAATCTGCTGATCAGTTATCGAGAACTAGCTTCATTTCTGTCGTCAAGTCACGCGTGTTTCAGTAGCGCTTTATACTAGGGCTGCTTGATTATGCCAAAAATCATAATCACGATTATTTAACCTGATTTTGAGTGGGCCATATGACCAAAACTTTATATGAGTGATTTGTTTAAGGATAGATTAAAGATTATTTAAAGTGATATATCAAATATATATTCTGTGACATCTACATTTTAGGGACCATTACACAAGTCTCAATACCACAGCAGAATACTAGGGTAACTAATATTAGTAAAAAACAAACAATTATTGAAAATTATTAAACTGTCAGTAATAAAAAAGAACAAATACAATAGAATAAAAAAGATAGAAATGAAACCAACTGTGCTTTAAGGGTTTTTTAATGCAAGTCTAAAGTTTTCAGATAGCAGCTATCAGAAATTAATAATCAAATGTACAAAAAAGCAGCATGGTCTTCACTGTAAGAATTAAACTTTCTTTGTTTCTTATTGAAGCTACAAAAGTACTTTAGTCAAGAGCAGTGAGTGATTTACTTGGTCTTTTTTTATTAATATGAAGCACACAGTTGCAGCAGGAATATTAGGCTGCTGTCACTTTAAGAGCCGCACTGATCCAATTTACTGTTACACACGTATAGTGGGGTCGACCGATATTCGTTTTTTGACAGCCGATGCCGATATCTTGGAAAGCAGGGTGGCCGATTGCCGATATAATTGTATTTATTTTAATATTTAAGACATTTGAAAATGGATTAAAAAATAAATGTGTTAAATAAACATACTTATACTTTAGATGACAAAGTATTTTTTACAAGTAAATATTGAATAAAAATATAATTAAAAAGGAAGTAAACACTGTAGCCACCAGGGCACTCAGTATTCTGGGAAGTTTGTGTGCATTGGGAATCATATTTTTTCAAATAAAGCCAAGGTAACACTCATTTTGCATGCAGCACACAGTGGAAATTACATGAATATGACAGCGGGCAAATGCATAAAGTGCAGCATAATTTGAAATCACAAGCTTAAAGTTTGTCAATCGCGAGTCTCTAGGGAAGCTGAACTCTCCTCCTGTCCGCATTCAATTCACACGGACCGACCGTCACGCAGAGAACACGCGATCATGCAGGTCACACGCACACTTCACACGATCTCACAACTGGATCCGGCTAAGTATGCAAGGTTTGTGAAATTAAATGTTCATTAGTCATTCAAAGATTTGTTTAAATGATATAAATGCGTATTTGCTGAATGCTGACGGCAAACAAGAAAGTATTATAATGTTTGCCTTTCTATTACTAATAACATAAAAGCAGTCGCTATAAGACTTTTTGTATACATTTTAATTCCTTTGTTTAACCGTTCAATCTGATTATTAGACACTTCTAGCCGTATTTATACAGACCAGTGATTAGACACTAAAAGTTGACTTTACATGTCTGTGTTGTTCCGTCTCTGAGCGCATGCCCAGAAAGCCTCCTGAGGAACGGCGCAATTTCTCTTTGACGCTTTTAAAAACATGAATAAATCTTATACACTTTAATAAATCAAGCACATCCCATTTTGCAAAAGTCACGTTACATTTGCACGTGAAATTGGGCTTTTATGGAGGAGCGAAAGGGCACCGCTGGAAAGGGGCGGGATCATTTTATGTCGATATTTGTATTTTCATAATCGTTGGAGGCTGAAATCGAAACCGTATTTAGAGTAATTGCACAGCCCTACTTTATATGATACAGATTTTTTCAAAGCAGCTTTATAGAGAAGCAGGAAAATAATCAGTGTTGTAAGCGTAATCAAGACATTCAAATTCTGCTGTAAAGCAGCTCTGCAGAAGACATGAATGTCATTATTCAGCTGCTAAATTTAATTCATTTTGTTCTCCTCTGAGAGTGTCAGCGCAGTTTTAAGTGTCTTTTAAAGCCCAGCTGAGCAAGTCCAAGCAGGTGAAGTATCTCGACCTGTGTGTCCCATCTGACTGCACGAGGACACAAAGGACACACTGGTCTAGGCTGTGATGTAGATCTCTGTCATGTGTGTGTTGCAGGTGTTCGTGTGCGGCGTGGTGTTCTGCAGTCAGGCGCAGCTGCAGGAGCGGGGGAAGATGGCCTGCTCTCAGCCGCACGAGCCGCGCTGTCTGCCGCTGCACATCATGAAGCTGCTGTCATCTGACGGACAGAGAGAGTGGTGGGATGCTGTCTACAGCCTGATTCACAAGAGAGCGCAGTGAGTGACTCCTCGTGTGTGTGTGTGTGTGTGAGAGAGACGTTGTGTGTTCCTGACTGCATTGTGTGTGTGTGTGTGTCAGGCCCGGGACGTCTGCTAAACTGCGTCTGCTCGTGCAGCACGGTCTGGGCACGCTGCGTGCCGGAGAGAAACAGGGCGTGCAGCCGGCGCTGCTCATACACTGGGCTAAACATCTGACTGACGCGGTACGTCCTGACCACCTGCACCCTCATCACCTGGTGTCATACACTTCATTTCTTACATCCATCGCAGCTCATGCAGTCTGCTGACGCAATCAGCTGGACAAATCTTCATTGCTTTCACACGTTTTTGTCTCAAAATGATTCATCGTTTTTGACTTCATTAGTTTTGGCCACATTTTAGAGTTTCTCTTTCTTTAAAAAAAGTCTTTATTCGCCCTCCACAAATTAAGTTTGCATGCACTCCTTTATCAGTAGTTTTGTCTTGCTTTCCAATACAAATATCTAAACATCCTTAACTCAAGATACACTTACTGGAGATGTAAATTGAAGTCTTGAGAAATTGAACAGAACTAAGTGAGTTGATTAAAACAAGAACTAGGGCTGCACGATAAATCGCATGTGATATTCATGCGCATCTTGTCAGTAAAGCCGGTTCTGTGATTAGTAGTAAATCTCCAGCACGTGCTTTCAGATGGAGCGGCATTTACTACACAGAGCCGTAGTTCACTGACAAGCTACACAAAATGGCGTTCATAAAGGCAATTCATCTGCCATCTGTCAGTGAGCTACAGCTCTGTGTAGTAAATGCCGCTCCATCTGAAAGCACGTGCTGGAGATTTACTACTAATCACAGAACCGGCTTTACTGACAAGATGCGCATGACTCTCACAGGCGATTTATCGTGCAGCCGTTATAAGAACAAATATCTGTCAATGGGGAATGAGAACATGTTTTGCCTTTGAATTAAGTTGATTATTATAATCATAAACTCACTTCATTTTGAACAAATTTTCCGGAAAACTAGACTTCTCTTTTAAAGGTGCACTATGTAAGTTAACATTAAAACACAGTAAATAAACTCATCAAATTACAGTGCAAGGCTCGTCGTGTCCTCAATGCGCGAGCGTCGAGTCTGAGTAGGAGGAAGCGTGAGAAACGGCTCTCTCCATTATTTAGAATTTGGACTGCAGTACCCATTTCAACCACTAGCTGTCGATCTTAAATTCTGCACCTTAAATGTTATTTTCTTTCATCATGACATTAAAAAAATAATAGACATTTTTTTAGACATTTGCACTGGAAAACAAGACAAATACAGAGGATTTTTTTAAATATTTTGCTGCTGTGATCAGATGCAATTTAATTTCCATATTCTAGTTTTTGGGAGCAGAGCTGTTTAAACCTTAAGCTTTTTTTTTCAAAATGAATTAAAATTAATGAAGATTGCTGGAAGTATTTTTGCACTTTAATGCACTTTTCATAGCTCTCATTGTGTTTCTCTATAGATTTACATTTAGCAAACATATTGATGTATTGTGTTTCCTTTAGTTTATTCCTTTCATTTCCTTTACTTGGTCTTAAGAAGAAGTGTTAAATGTGCCTTCATCAGAGCCGCAGAATGCCAGCAGTAAGTGTGTGTGTATGTGTGTGTGTTTGTCAGACTGAGCGGGTGAACTCTTACTACGATCAGAAGGAGTATGCTAGCCGCAGTGTGCACTACTGGAGGGTTGTGCTCCCCCTGCTGGAGAAGGTCCGACACAAACGCAGCATCCCTGAACCCCTTCAGCCCATGTTCATGCACTTTCAGAGCAGAGACATACAGGTATCTCCGTCACTTCAGTGCTTTGGCTGCTGGGATGATGTGTGTGGCTTCTTGCTGCAGTCTCTTTGTTTTCTGTTATCATGTCCTCTCTAATGGTCTTTTGGACATTAGCCTTCTCAGGTGCGAGTGTATGAGGAAGATGCAGTCATAAGCTTCGCCACACTCCTTGACATTGAGGGCAACACTGAGGAGGCCATCGCAAAGCTGGAGCAGCTCAACAGCATCTCGTCTAACTGGCATCTGGCGAAGGTAACGGCGCAGTCACACTGACTCCGCTTCAGCTCATCAGCAGCTCCGTCTGAAGGAGCTAGCGCTGTGTCTGACAGCTTTTGACGTGTCTCATGTGTTGATCGCCAGATCTATCAGAGGCTGTCAGAGGAGGCAGGGAACGGGCTTGAGGAAACTCAGGGCAAGTGCACCAGCTTCCTCCTGAAGTTCAGGAAATACTTGGCCAAGATTTATCAGGCCAATGCAGAGGATTTGGAGAAGGTATGTGAAACTCACCACTGACTCCCTCGTATGGTCTCTGTGCTGCTCTCTTTATTTGCACAAGTGACCATTGCAGGAAATGTATTGTATTAAACCGGTCAGAGTCTTAAAAATATTTTTCGTGGCTTCCTGCTGCAGTCTCTTTGTTTTCTGTTATCATGTCCTCTCTAATGGTCTTTTGGACATTAGCCTTCTCAGGTGCAAGTGTATGAGGAAGATGCAGTCATAAGCTTCGCCACACTCCTTGACATTGAGGGCAACACTGAGGAGGCCATCGCAAAGCTGGAGCAGCTCAACAGCATCTCGTCTAACTGGCATCTGGCGAAGGTAACGGCGCAGTCACACTGACTCCGCTTCAGCTCATCAGCAGCTCCGTCTGAAGGAGCTAGCGCTGTGTCTGACAGCTTTTGACGTGTCTCATGTGTTGATCGCCAGATCTATCAGAGGCTGTCAGAGGAGGCAGGGAACGGGCTTGAGGAAACTCAGGGCAAGTGCACCAGCTTCCTCCTGAAGTTCAGGAAATACTTGGCCAAGATTTATCAGGCCAATGCAGAGGATTTGGAGAAGGTATGTGAAACTCACCACTGACTCCCTCGTATGGTCTCTGTGCTGCTCTCTTTATTTGCACAAGTGACCATTGCAGGAAATGTATTGTATTAAACCGGTCAGAGTCTTAAAAATATTTTTTTAGATGTATAGATTTATTTTTAAGAATTTAAGGCTCAAAAGATTCATTCCAGAAGCACTGTATTCCTCCTGTTCACTCTGATTCAACAACTAGTGCTGCATACGGTCCAGATTATGCTTGTTACATGTTTGAATCATTATGATGAATCCTTCACTGAATCCATCAGAGCAGATGCTAATCGTCTGAACTCTCTGATTGAGCTGCATGTTTTATTTCCTTCAGCAGTGTCCGTCTGAGTGTAGTTAAGAACATGTTCTGTGTGGCTTAACCCTGCTGTTGCATGGTTTTACCTGCACTTGAACACACAGAGAATCATCCTGAGGGAATGTCCTCAGGACCTGAGGAACAGGTGGACACCCATGTGTTCATGTCGAGTAATCATAATCACCAAAAATAATCTAGTATACTATGCTGGGCTGTCCAAACACAAAACCACAAACCATATGGAGAGGAGGATTGAGAATCGGAGGAAATGCTCATGATGTTAAACAAGAAGGAGAAAACCTCACTGTGTGCATTAAGAAGTCTTTTGTAATTGATCTACTACTTAGGAAATTGTCGTGAGGACAGTCCTTTTTTTCCACTGTGTTTGTAATCACATTTCCATGATGTATATACAGATGTGGCCATTGAGAATGTGCGTTCAGAGGGAGAGGATCACACGTGACCACAGGGAATGCTCTAGCACAGGAAAGACATGATCAGTAGGGGGCAGTCATGCAACATACTGTACTGAAGTGGTTGTTATTATTGCTATACTAAAATGCTGGACTGAGCCTGTGCCATTTTTGGGGGGTATTTTTTTGGTGATTTTAATGGTCATTTTAAAAGCTGGAAACCTGTTAAAACATGTTCATTTAGTTCAGATAATTTTGCATGAACTCAGAGAAGATGAAAAAAATCACACTTAGCAAGAGTTTCCTTGTTCAGCTCAGACTGTAATTGATTAATGCATCGTTATAGCCTATAACCATTACAAAATGTTTTATTTTATGATTTCTGCAGATGAAAAAGCATAAACAAACATAAAGCTTCTGTAGGGCTATATGGATTCTTTTATTTCTTATATTTTTAGGATAATGTAAGCGTTATTTTACTGTTATGTAATAAAATGGTATAAAATATTGGTATAAAACCACATCTGTTTCTGAATGGAGAAAACAATGAAACCATAGAAATAAAAAGGAATATATAGGTCTATACACTAAATATTTCATTTAAATCATTTACGATTAACAAAACAAACAAAAAAATAGCTTAAAGCTGTTTTAATTACATAATTTAAGCAATTGATTTCAAACCCCTTTGCAGTGCGAGTAAATCTTTCCTTGTGCAGTTTTCATCACGCATGCACAAATTTGCTTTCCGTTCTGCTGTCATTGTTTGAACGTCTAAAACCTTTGTTTGCGAGTTGAACAAACTGTAACAGTCTCCCTGAGAAACTACCTAGTGAGGCAAGCTACAAGATAAATTTGAGGGAAGGACCCACCGACCAAACTTGCATTAGAATTTCACAATTCAAGAATAAACCTCAAATCACAAACAGATATGCTTTATCTTTTCTTTTCTGTAGGGTTTGAGAAACAACACAAGTATATATATTTACATGGAAAAAAACCCAGCAGGAAATTGGAATTACAAATGTATAACGTCCAAAAACTCACATGAATGCAATATTGTCACTGTTGTTTGGCAATGAAGTTGGAAAAGAAAAACCTTAGCTGTCCATTGTCCAGGTTGTCCATAGAAAAATCCCAATGATATGTAGCTTAGAGTTGTACTGTTCGTTGAGATGAAGACTAGTTGAAGAAATGTCCATGGAGTGATGTGATGCAGTGAATCAGGAAATCCAAGTTCAAACACCACAACGATGAAATCAGGCCTCGATACCACTGACCTCCGATTGTAGAAATCTCATGTTCCAGTTATACCATTAGCATCGACCTCCAACAAGGAAGGAATGAAGACAGATGCTATACAAAAAAAAGTCCTTCTACAAACAAGACATATAAACTAGCATTAGCATGCCACTTGCACACCAAAACAGCAGCCGTAAGACAATAAAAGAAAATACAGCTTACCCATACAGGGCTTGAATTTTGGCGCAGGATTGTGCATAATTCTACTGATTCCTGCAGTTTCCGCGGGAAATTCCCGCAAATATTTCAATGTGAAAGACGCTCGCGACAGATGACAGAATGTATCATTTGCACGTGCTTTTGAGTCTTACAATTTTAAACATTCAAGTGCTCAATTCAGTACTTGTGCACTCTGTGACTGTGAGACCCTTTCTGTGAGCAGCCTCAAACCCAAAGCGTGTGCACATAGAGATGCATCTGAAAGCGCGAGCCTTATTACACGTAAACGGCCAAATACATACAAAAAGTGCCCGTCTTGATGAGTATTCATGTAAACAGTCGATTTATACTAAACATTGTCGGTATACAGGCTATTAAGTTAATGTAAACAGTTGAGAAACAAAACTTGTGTAACAGTCTGATCCGTGCATGAGGTCTTAAAGAGACAAGCAACCTAAATAAACCTGCTGCTGTCTGTCATTAATGTTTATTTATACATTGAAGACTAACCAGTGTTAATTTAAAGTTAAATAGATTATTCTTATTATATAATCATAATAATGATTGTTTCTGTGGTATTTCTGTACCTGAATATTACTGTTAAACCTACCTGAAAAACTTAAAGCACAGTTAATTTTAGTTGTATCTTTTGATTGTATTTGTTTGTGCCATTGCTTGTCATTAATCTATTCTTATTTTATTACTTACTGTCTACTTGTCTGTTTTAGTTAAAATAAATTCAATTTCAATAAAAAAAATTTTTAAGTATCTTCCTCACAATATAAATATGAATCCACAACATTATAACTTGTAAAACAAATACACTGGGTGACGAAACATTTAGGTTGGATGATTGTAGTTTAAAAATGTCTAAAGAAGTACCCTAACTCCCCCCTCAAATTAAAAAAATCCCCCACATAAGGGCCACCTAAAGGGGGAATTTCCCCCCCCATTTTCCAAAACGAAATTCAGGCCCGGCCATAACATAACCACATAACCAACATAAAATTAACCAGACAACAACAGAACACTTACATGATTGAGCCTGAAACCGAGGTTTCTCAGTCTGGATATTTATTCATCTTGCAGACGCTTTTATCCAAAGCGGCTTACAATTGGGGAATACATCAAGCGATTCTTCTTAAAGAGGCAAACAGTCACAGGAAGTGCTCGCCAAGTTTCTTTCAAATAAGTACAAGCTAGAAAGGGAAGGAATAAATGAGACTTTTTTTTATTTTATTTTCCTTTTTTTTTTTTTTTTTAATTTAGGATGAAGCCAGATAGTGATGAAAGTGATGAGTTTTCAGCTGTCGCTTGAAAATTGTCAGGGATTCAGCATTCCGGATAGGGGTGGGAAGATCGTTCCACCAGCCAGGAACGGTGAACGAGAATTATCTGGAAAGTGATTTTGAGCCTCTCTGTGATGGTACCACGAGGCGTCGCTCACTAGCGGATCTCAGACTTCTGAAGGGGATGTAAATTCGTAGTAGTGAGTGGAAGTAGGCGGGTGCTGAGCCTGTGGCTGTTCTATATGCAAGCATCAATGTCTTGAACTTGATTCGAGCCGCAACCGGTAGCCAGTGCAAGGAGATAAAGAGAGGTGTAACATGGGCTCTTTTGGGCTAGGGCTGCACGATAAATCGCATGTGATATTCATGCGCATCTTGTCAGTAAAGCCGGTTCTGTGATTAGTAGTAAATCTCCAGCACGTGCTTTCAGATGGAGCGGCATTTACTACACAGAGCCGTAGTTCACTGACAAGCTACACAAAATGGCGTTCATAAAGGCAATTCATCTGCCATCTGTCAGTGAGCTACAGCTCTGTGTAGTAAATGCCGCTCCATCTGAAAGCACGTGCTGGAGATTTACTACTAATCACAGAACCGGCTTTACTGACAAGATGCGCATGACTCTCACAGGCGATTTATCGTGCAGCCGTTATAAGAACAAATATCTGTCAATGGGGAATGAGAACATGTTTTGCCTTTGAATTAAGTTGATTATTATAATCATAAACTCACTTCATTTTGAACAAATTTTCCGGAAAACTAGACTTCTCTTTTAAAGGTGCACTATGTAAGTTAACATTAAAACACAGTAAATAAACTCATCAAATTACAGTGCAAGGCTCGTCGTGTCCTCAATGCGCGAGCGTCGAGTCTGAGTAGGAGGAAGCGTGAGAAACGGCTCTCTCCATTATTTAGAATTTGGACTGCAGTACCCATTTCAACCACTAGCTGTCGATCTTAAATTCTGCACCTTAAATGTTATTTTCTTTCATCATGACATTAAAAAAATAATAGACATTTTTTTAGACATTTGCACTGGAAAACAAGACAAATACAGAGGATTTTTTTAAATATTTTGCTGCTGTGATCAGATGCAATTTAATTTCCATATTCTAGTTTTTGGGAGCAGAGCTGTTTAAACCTTAAGCTTTTTTTTTCAAAATGAATTAAAATTAATGAAGATTGCTGGAAGTATTTTTGCACTTTAATGCACTTTTCATAGCTCTCATTGTGTTTCTCTATAGATTTACATTTAGCAAACATATTGATGTATTGTGTTTCCTTTAGTTTATTCCTTTCATTTCCTTTACTTGGTCTTAAGAAGAAGTGTTAAATGTGCCTTCATCAGAGCCGCAGAATGCCAGCAGTAAGTGTGTGTGTATGTGTGTGTGTTTGTCAGACTGAGCGGGTGAACTCTTACTACGATCAGAAGGAGTATGCTAGCCGCAGTGTGCACTACTGGAGGGTTGTGCTCCCCCTGCTGGAGAAGGTCCGACACAAACGCAGCATCCCTGAACCCCTTCAGCCCATGTTCATGCACTTTCAGAGCAGAGACATACAGGTATCTCCGTCACTTCAGTGCTTTGGCTGCTGGGATGATGTGTGTGGCTTCTTGCTGCAGTCTCTTTGTTTTCTGTTATCATGTCCTCTCTAATGGTCTTTTGGACATTAGCCTTCTCAGGTGCGAGTGTATGAGGAAGATGCAGTCATAAGCTTCGCCACACTCCTTGACATTGAGGGCAACACTGAGGAGGCCATCGCAAAGCTGGAGCAGCTCAACAGCATCTCGTCTAACTGGCATCTGGCGAAGGTAACGGCGCAGTCACACTGACTCCGCTTCAGCTCATCAGCAGCTCCGTCTGAAGGAGCTAGCGCTGTGTCTGACAGCTTTTGACGTGTCTCATGTGTTGATCGCCAGATCTATCAGAGGCTGTCAGAGGAGGCAGGGAACGGGCTTGAGGAAACTCAGGGCATGTGCACCAGCTTCCTCCTGAAGTTCAGGAAATACTTGGCCAAGATTTATCAGGCCAATGCAGAGGATTTGGAGAAGGTATGTGAAACTCACCACTGACTCCCTCGTATGGTCTCTGTGCTGCTCTCTTTATTTGCACAAGTGACCATTGCAGGAAATGTATTGTATTAAACCGGTCAGAGTCTTAAAAATATTTTTTTAGATGTATAGATTTATTTTTAAGAATTTAAGGCTCAAAAGATTCATTCCAGAAGCACTGTATTCCTCCTGTTCACTCTGATTCAACAACTAGTGCTGCATACGGTCCAGATTATGCTTGTTACATGTTTGAATCATTATGATGAATCCTTCACTGAATCCATCAGAGCAGATGCTAATCGTCTGAACTCTCTGATTGAGCTGCATGTTTTATTTCCTTCAGCAGTGTCCGTCTGAGTGTAGTTAAGAACATGTTCTGTGTGGCTTAACCCTGCTGTTGCATGGTTTTACCTGCACTTGAACACACAGAGAATCATCCTGAGGGAATGTCCTCAGGACCTGAGGAACAGGTGGACACCCATGTGTTCATGTCGAGTAATCATAATCACCAAAAATAATCTAGTATACTATGCTGGGCTGTCCAAACACAAAACCACAAACCATATGGAGAGGAGGATTGAGAATCAGAGGAAATGCTCATGATGTTAAACAAGAAGGAGAAAACCTCACTGTGTGCATTAAGAAGTCTTTTGTAATTGATCTACTACTTAGGAAATTGTCGTGAGGACAGTCCTTTTTTTCCACTGTGTTTGTAATCACATTTCCATGATGTATATACAGATGTGGCCATTGAGAATGTGCGTTCAGAGGGAGAGGATCACACGTGACCACAGGGAATGCTCTAGCACAGGAAAGACATGATCAGTAGGGGGCAGTCATGCAACATACTGTACTGAAGTGGTTGTTATTATTGCTATACTAAAATGCTGGACTGAGCCTGTGCCATTTTTGGGGGGTATTTTTTTGGTGATTTTAATGGTCATTTTAAAAGCTGGAAACCTGTTAAAACATGTTCATTTAGTTCAGATAATTTTGCATGAACTCAGAGAAGATGAAAAAAATCACACTTAGCAAGAGTTTCCTTGTTCAGCTCAGACTGTAATTGATTAATGCATCGTTATAGCCTATAACCATTACAAAATGTTTTATTTTATGATTTCTGCAGATGAAAAAGCATAAACAAACATAAAGCTTCTGTAGGGCTATATGGATTCTTTTATTTCTTATATTTTTAGGATAATGTAAGCGTTATTTTACTGTTATGTAATAAAATGGTATAAAATATTGGTATAAAACCACATCTGTTTCTGAATGGAGAAAACAATGAAACCATAGAAATAAAAAGGAATATATAGGTCTATACACTAAATATTTCATTTAAATCATTTACGATTAACAAAACAAACAAAAAAATAGCTTAAAGCTGTTTTAATTACATAATTTAAGCAATTGATTTCAAACCCCTTTGCAGTGCGAGTAAATCTTTCCTTGTGCAGTTTTCATCACGCATGCACAAATTTGCTTTCCGTTCTGCTGTCATTGTTTGAACGTCTAAAACCTTTGTTTGCGAGTTGAACAAACTGTAACAGTCTCCCTGAGAAACTACCTAGTGAGGCAAGCTACAAGATAAATTTGAGGGAAGGACCCACCGACCAAACTTGCATTAGAATTTCACAATTCAAGAATAAACCTCAAATCACAAACAGATATGCTTTATCTTTTCTTTTCTGTAGGGTTTGAGAAACAACACAAGTATATATATTTACATGGAAAAAAACCCAGCAGGAAATTGGAATTACAAATGTATAACGTCCAAAAACTCACATGAATGCAATATTGTCACTGTTGTTTGGCAATGAAGTTGGAAAAGAAAAACCTTAGCTGTCCATTGTCCAGGTTGTCCATAGAAAAATCCCAATGATATGTAGCTTAGAGTTGTACTGTTCGTTGAGATGAAGACTAGTTGAAGAAATGTCCATGGAGTGATGTGATGCAGTGAATCAGGAAATCCAAGTTCAAACACCACAACGATGAAATCAGGCCTCGATACCACTGACCTCCGATTGTAGAAATCTCATGTTCCAGTTATACCATTAGCATCGACCTCCAACAAGGAAGGAATGAAGACAGATGCTATACAAAAAAAAGTCCTTCTACAAACAAGACATATAAACTAGCATTAGCATGCCACTTGCACACCAAAACAGCAGCCGTAAGACAATAAAAGAAAATACAGCTTACCCATACAGGGCTTGAATTTTGGCGCAGGATTGTGCATAATTCTACTGATTCCCGCAGTTTCCGCGCTTGTAACGCGGGAAATTCCCGCAAATATTTCAATGTGAAAGACGCTCGCGACAGATGACAGAATGTATCATTTGCACGTGCTTTTGAGTCTTACAATTTTAAACATTCAAGTGCTCAATTCAGTACTTGTGCACTCTGTGACTGTGAGACCCTTTCTGTGAGCAGCCTCAAACCCAAAGCGTGTGCACATAGAGATGCATCTGAAAGCGCGAGCCTTATTACACGTAAACGGCCAAATACATACAAAAAGTGCCCGTCTTGATGAGTATTCATGTAAACAGTCGATTTATACTAAACATTGTCGGTATACAGGCTATTAAGTTAATGTAAACAGTTGAGAAACAAAACTTGTGTAACAGTCTGATCCGTGCATGAGGTCTTAAAGAGACAAGCAACCTAAATAAACCTGCTGCTGTCTGTCATTAATGTTTATTTATACATTGAAGACTAACCAGTGTTAATTTAAAGTTAAATAGATTATTCTTATTATATAATCATAATAATGATTGTTTCTGTGGTATTTCTGTACCTGAATATTACTGTTAAACCTACCTGAAAAACTTAAAGCACAGTTAATTTTAGTTGTATCTTTTGATTGTATTTGTTTGTGCCATTGCTTGTCATTAATCTATTCTTATTTTATTACTTACTGTCTACTTGTCTGTTTTAGTTAAAATAAATTCAATTTCAATAAAAAAAATTTTTAAGTATCTTCCTCACAATATAAATATGAATCCACAACATTATAACTTGTAAAACAAATACACTGGGTGACGAAACATTTAGGTTGGATGATTGTAGTTTAAAAATGTCTAAAGAAGTACCCTAACTCCCCCCTCAAATTAAAAAAATCCCCCACATAAGGGCCACCTAAAGGGGGAATTTCCCCCCCCCATTTTCCAAAACGAAATTCAGGCCCTGCCATAACATAACCACATAACCAACATAAAATTAACCAGACAACAACAGAACACTTACATGATTGAGCCTGAAACCGAGGTTTCTCAGTCTGGATATTTATTCATCTTGCAGACGCTTTTATCCAAAGCGGCTTACAATTGGGGAATACATCAAGCGATTCTTCTTAAAGAGGCAAACAGTCACAGGAAGTGCTCGTAATACCAAGTTTCTAGACATTGTTCAAATAAGTACAAGCTAGAAAGGGAAGGAATAAATGAGACTTTTTTTTATTTTATTTTCCTTTTTTTTTTTTTTTTTAATTTAGGATGAAGCCAGATAGTGATGAAAGTGATGAGTTTTCAGCTGTCGCTTGAAAATTGTCAGGGATTCAGCATTCCGGATAGGGGTGGGAAGATCGTTCCACCAGCCAGGAACGGTGAACGAGAATTATCTGGAAAGTGATTTTGAGCCTCTCTGTGATGGTACCACGAGGCGTCGCTCACTAGCGGATCTCAGACTTCTGAAGGGGATGTAAATTCGTAGTAGTGAGTGGAAGTAGGCGGGTGCTGAGCCTGTGGCTGTTCTATATGCAAGCATCAATGTCTTGAACTTGATTCGGGCCGCAACCGGTAGCCAGTGCAAGGAGATAAAGAGAGGTGTAACATGGGCTCTTTTGGGCT